GGGGGGGGGCACTGGAGTGGGGAGTCAGGGTGTGGAGAGACATAGGACAGGAGGAAGCAGCCCTGGCCCACACCCTGCCTGAGGAGGAGCGGAGGGGCAGCCAAGCACCACATCTCTTCCACTCTGTTCCCTTCTGCCCTCCAGCCTGCAGTTTCCCAGAAGCTCCTGGGCTAGCCTGGCTCCTACCGCTGGTCCCGGAGGCCCTGGGTCTGGAGGGCACTGGGCAGGAGGGAGGCACCCTCCTCTCCTCAGGGCCCTTCTGGCATCACAAAGAAGAACATAGCATGAAGTGGGCCTTCTTAGGGGTCCCCAGCACCCCACCCTTCTCCCTGGTGCTCATAACCACCCTCGGAGGGACCACTGTTGGTGGGATAAACTGAGACTCAGAGAGGGGACCTCACCCAGAGAGGATCATGGTCTCTAAACCCGGCTCTCTTTCTAGGACTCCATGCCTGGGTCACACTACCAGGGAGTGCTGTTGTAGACCCAAAATCGGGGCCAAGATGGGGAGAAACAGGCCAAGGGGGTGGGGGCAGGTGGTAGACGGACAGCCTCTGAGGCTGAAATCTCTCCTGCTTTTGGGTAATAAATTCTGATCATCGCGATAATGGGGGGGGGGGATAATTAACATTTTCAAGGTAGCTGGCAGCATAGAACCTCAATTCGTTTCCATAACAACCCTGCCGGATGGGAATGATTGCTGCCCCTCCCACTTTAGGACAGGAGGAAAAGAAGGCACCGCGAGGGAGTGTCACTTGCCTAGAGTCAGGAGCAGAGCTGGGGTGGGAAGCCCAGGAGGTCTGACAGCGGCAGGGTGTTTGTGACCATCAATCAGCCCTCTCGGCTGACCCTGGGAGTGGGGAGGCAAGTCTCCCACAGGAAAGGTCATCTGTAGAAGCAGGTCTGGTGTGAGTGGGGAGCAAGGAGCGGCCACAGTGTCAGGAGGGCAGAGGGAGCAGCGAGGGCCAGGCCCCCGAGGGCTTCCTGGAAGGGCAGGACAGACTGGACTGGGGTTGGGCAGGCTGGTGAAGATGTCTCTCTGCTTCCCACCCTGGGATCCCGCATGTGCAGGAGAACTCCCCCCACCCTGAGGGTGTGGTACAAGGCCCTGACAGGCTCTGGGGAGTCTCCCCGACACCCCAGCACCCACTGCTGCAGTAACTGCACCAGTGCCTCGGACACCCCTCCACCAAGAATTCCCTCTCCCTGAGCTGTTTCATATCTGCGTCCTCCCCACGCCCACGGTGTGTACTAGGGTGCAACAGGAACCCCCTCACTGGCACCATAACGCCACACCCAGCCCCAGTGCTCAGCCAGGGCCCCTGCACACAGTGGCATACAGTGGGTGCTAGAGAAAGGCACAGAGCCAGAAGACCATGGGCATCTGGGCCAGACACTTAGGGAAAATGAGGGTCAAGAGAAAGGAAAACCAGGTGCTGCTACCTCCCAGGCCCCTCCCACCGAGCAGATCCCCAAGAGGGGTGGGGAGGGCATCCTTGCACACGTAGCTGGCACTACGCACTCCTTCTCTGGCAGTGGCCAACTCCCACCCTCACCCTTGCCCCAACCTCTGAGCTCAAGTGACCATTCAGGTGGTGGGAAATGTGACCATACGGTCCCCTGGCCAGGAGGACAGAGGCCTGAGATCCCCTGGGCCTGAGGGACAAGATTGTCCATGCCAGGCCAGTCACACCCCATGCTCTGCCCATCTTCTGCCCATGATGCATGGACAGTGGGGGGTGAGGCTGGGCTGGGGAAGCAGCAGGCAGGACACTGTGTCCGGCTCACCCGGTCCATGTCCCCCTCCCCAGGAAAACCACATCGCAGGATGCACAGAAACAGGACTCCACGGCCGTCACCTCTGTGACTTCAAAGTACACCAGGTCTCCTGTCTGGGGAGACACGATGAAGCTAGAGATCCCTGCTGACAGTGCCGGGAAGGAAGGTGAGGCTGGGGGCAGGAAGAGGCCTGGGGTTGGGATGGGCGGGGGTGGAGGTGCTTTGCAAAGGGCAGCCCAGAAAGCCACTTACAAAGGTGGCAAAATCCCGGCCACCACTCAGCTGGAAGCCACCTGAACACCTCCTTGGGCTCAGTTAAAAAACGTTTTAAAGGAAACCAGAAAAGAAATCCTGATCTTGTCATGCCTCATCTCCCAGCCTGTTCCAACGGACGATAAATGCATTTCCCAGACAATAAGAGCTTATCTTTTTATGACCGTTATTATTTCTATGGCTGTTATTCCCGCCGTCTCCCGCTGGCTTCCTAGCTCGCCCCCTCTGGACCATCCTGCAGAGGCACCACCAGCCTCCCAGGAGGGGTAGCGGCGCAGCCCACTGCTCGGATAAGCAAACTGGTTTGCAGGGAGGCCAGAGAGCTGGCTGCAGGGCGTCAGTCAGTGAGCAGAGGGGCCAGGACTCAGCACCCCATGCTCTTGTAAGGGTCTAGTGTCCTATCTGCCACAACTGGATTTTTAAAAGTTCTGAACCTTTCTCCCTGCCGGGACCTCCCTGGGTCACTGCCCACCCACAGAGAGGTGTGTCCGGGGCTTTCCAAAGATTGGGGATCTACTCTTAGAGAAATTGCACCCTCACCCCAAGGAAACACTTTCAGCCCCCTGGCTTCGGCCAGGTCTAGCCTGGGCGGATGATTTCGATGTTTCAAGGCAGGATGGGGGTGGAGTGGGGGGTGGCTTGAAATAATCCAGGGGCCTGCAATAGACAAGGCTGCACTTTGCCCTGGAGGGTGGGCTACAGTACATTGCCAGTGGCGGGCGCTGAGTCCTTGGGTTGGTAAGCCAAACACATATGAGAACCTATGACTTAGAACGAGCCCCCAGGCACCCATGTTAGCACACACACACATGCACACACATGGACCAGGGGACTTCTAAAAGGTTCTCAGAAAGTGAAATGGGGAGATAATGGGACTCTTCCATGAGCTTTTCGAAGCCCCCTCATATTTTCACACCGTAGGTCAGGGCTCGGCTGGCCAGCTGATCCAGGGCTGCTGGGAATGCAGGCACTACAGGCACCAGTCACATTGCCCACCTTAGGGCATCAGAAGGACCCCCATCTCCCTTCTTGCGGGTGGGCCCCTTGAAGGCCTTGGGCAGAACCGGTTGTTCTTCTCCCAAAGACAAAATCTAGAGGCTGTGGGAACTGGAGGAGGGAGACGGGAGGAGGAGGGGCATCAATGAAACAGGAGGAAGAGAGCTCTAGGTCAAGGTAGAGAATTGATTTTGTTTTCCAGCCTATAAATGGGTAGGCGGAGCCACTGGGATGATTTGAGAAAATGCAAACAAGGAAAACTGACTCAGGCTCTCATGCAAATCCATGCATGAGCCTGTATGGATGTCCATGGGCTGGTTCCTGTGTGTGTGTGTGGACATTGTGTGTGAGTAGGTACATGCTGGCACGTTGGTGTGTCTGGCAGCAGTGTGTGTGTGTGTATGTGTGTGTGTGTGTGGTGAATACTGAATGTGCAAGGGAACACATAGTTTGCATGCTGTGCACATACATGTACGTGCAGGTGCATTTGTGTGGCTAAAGGGAAGTTGGGGGGTAGGGCAGTGAGCAGACCTGGGCTGGGACACACACACACACCCCATGATGAGAGGAAGGGGTGTGATGAGTCAGTGGCCTTAGAGCAGCGGAGATGGGGGCAGAGGGTATGGCGGGGGGCGGGGGACATCTGGGCAGGCTGCGAACATTGGCAGGTGCTAGATGCTTGTTGGAACCTAACTAGAACCGGTTGCTGTGGTGATGTGTGTGGTAGAGGGTGGGGAGGGCAAGGGGCCAAGCCAAGAGGCAGGGGCAGGGCAGGTGGAGGCATAGGGATGTGTTAATGAAAAGCCAAGCCCCTGTGTTGGGGGCAAAGCAGGCAGGTGGCAGAAATGGCTTGTTGACCACCCAAAGGAAGCAGTAGGGGGTTGGTGGGGCATGGCACAATGCCCGGAGAAGAAGTTGGTGAGACATGTCTGTAGCATGGAGACAAGGCTCAGGGGTGGCCATCCCCCCAGTAATGGCTCTTCTACTGGTGGGGCCTGGGGTCAGGGAGGGCACTCTTCCCCAAATATCAACCAGGATTGGGGACTCAAGACCCCTCGGGTCTCATGGCTTTGGCTGGGACCTCCAGCTGAATTTCCTCAGTTTACTCAGGGTCGAGAGTCACAGAAAATTAATAAGGAGGAAGCCAGTGCACACCCCACTGGAGAACCCAAACGCCACCCTCCCACCCTTACCACACTCCTGAGGTGGGGAGAGGAGTTTTTAAAATAGTAATGTATTTCCAGAGCAGGGTCAGAGGGTTCAGGTTAAGTGGCTTGCTAAAGGCCACAGAGCAAGAAGGTGACTTGATACTGGGACCAACCCCTTGTCTTACACTTTCTTCAAGCCAGCCCAAGAACTTTTGCTGCCCTTCACACCCTCCTCTGCAATGAGCATGGACCCCATGTGGCTAGCTCTTGAGGGGCCTTGCAAGTGTCCCTCCCTCTCTGGGTCTACAAGGTCTCGGGAGGGGGAGGGGAAAGGTAGATGATTTAACAGAACCCTCAGCTCCCATCTACACTCCCAAGTAAAATGACCCACCCCGTGTCCAAATGATCTGTCCAGTTGCAAGTCACCCAGAACCAAGGAGACCCCAGCCTGTGAGCACAGCAGGGCCAGCAGCTGTCCCTGGTGCTGAAGCACCCTCTGCTCAAAGGGAGACACAGGGCAGTCTTCTCTCTCGGCCTCTCTCGGGTTCATCTTTAACTCCTTCTCTCCTCCATTCTCTACTCCCTCCTCTGCATCCCTCCTTCATCCTCCCCACCCTCCTCCTCTTTTCCTCTCTCACGACGTCTTCCTCAGGTCTCAGGCTTTCTGAGTGGAGAAGACCCCTCAGAGCCTACGGACCCAGCCTGGCTCACCAGCCATTTACTAGTAGTGTGATGACCAAGAGAGCCCAGGTGGCACAGTGGTTATGCATGGGGCTGCTAACCACAAGGTCGGCAGTTTGAAACCACCAACTGCTCCTTGAACGAAAGATGAGGCTGACTGCTACCCTAAAGAGTCCCAGTCCCAGAAACCCACAGGGGCAGTTGTGCCCTGTCCTATAGGGTCATGATGATTGGCCTCGACTCGGTGGCAGTGAGAGAGTGGTGACCATGCCGTGCCGCCCTTCTCAGCCCCAACGGACAGACTTTGAAAACAGAGACAGTCATTGCTATGAAGGGGACTGTGAAAAGGAGGGCTCATCCCCGTGGCTGGCACACAGTAGGTGCTCCTCACATGGCACTACTCCCTGGTCATGGGCAGTCCCCTTGGCACACATACAGAGTGGACACTTTTCATGACAAAATGAGGTCGCTTTAGAGAGAGGGCACTAAGGGGGCACGCTTCTGAATGCTCCTTCCTGTCTCCGGTCGCTGGCCCTCTCTTTCCTTCCCATTGGAGGGTTTCTTGGTCAGGTCACTGTTGCTGACTGAGCCTCCATTTCCTCTTATATGTGGGAGAGAAACCCTCCCTTCTCACCTGATGAGCTTCGAGCAGGAGAAGGGACCTTGTGACTGGGAAGGGGTCCTCCACCTGCCTGCATGTATCTCTCTGTGTGTGCAAGCATGCGTCTACGGCCACGGGTGGCTGGGCTCCCTCCCATCTGTGTGTGTGCACCTCTAGGGTGGAGGTGTCTGGTGCACAGAGAGAACTGGATCTCGGGGGCTCAGACAGTCCATGTGGTGTTGTCTCTCTGCACACCTGCGCATGCATGTGTGTGCGTTCCACATGTGCGTGTAGGCACGTAGGCTGGTTCCGCAGTGTGGCCCTGCTCTCAGCAAGGCCTGTCCCCTCTCACCGGCACACCTCACTGGGAGGGCAAGAGTCCCCTAAGCCTTGCCTTGACTCCATGGCCCCTTCTTCCCTCTCCAGATGTGGTGCTCAGAGTGGTGGACAGCAAGACCAAAGAGGAGCTAGTGTCTTACCAGATCCCCATCAAGTACCTGCGTGTCTTCCACCCCTACCACTTCCAGCTGGTGAAGGTGAGTCCGAACCCTGGACATGGGGCCCCCAATGGGCCTGAGCAGATGGATGGAAAGCTGGTGGGAGCCACAGCGGTGCCCCCAGCTCCTTCCCAAGAGTCTCTCTATCCCATGCTCATTCCTCATGATGGAAAGTCAGGGCCGGGAGACATGGCCCAGGGTGGACAGGGGGACTTGGGGAACGAGGTCCACCAGAAACTGGAATTGTTCAAATTCTTCTACATACAACAGCCCATAAGACAACTACCATGTTGCACAAATGCAGCAAGTAAAGCTGTGTTCTGATTTTACACGTCAAAGGAGGAGAGTGTGTCTAGACATGGGAGAAACAGATTCTATAGAGAACTGATAGGTCCCGGCCCTGTGCCAGACGCTTTGCTCGGCACCTCTAATCCGCAGGGTGAATTACATTTTTGCAGGCAAGGGGCCTGGGGTTTGGGGGAACGGCCTCTCACCCTGGGTCACACAGCTAGTGTGGCAGAGTGGAGGGTAAGCCCTGGCCATGCTGTCTCCTAAGCCTATTTTCTGCCTCCACACACTGCCTGGGCGAGAGAAAGGCCGTGGGAAGTTGGGGTGTGTAAAATGTAAAGCATCCCTGGGAATGCACCCCCATAGTGAACAACGGGGTTGATTCTGAAGTGTGGGGGTCGCAGGGTCCTCCATCCATGGCTTGAACCTTCCAGACCAGCTAATTCTGTTTCTTGGCTCCCCTGCCCAGTGCTGACTCATGGAAAAGAGAACCATTCCCATTGCTCGTGTACTTACAAAGTGCCTACTGGGTGCCAGGCACTGGGTCAGCCACCCTGCCCTCCCACAATGGGCATTCCAGACCCCGAGAGTGGCTGCGGCTGACTCAGAAAGCAGATCATCTGGACTCAAACCTGGACCTGTGCCTCCTGGCTGGCTGGTCACCAAGCCTGTTGCCATTGAGTGGATTCTGATGCCTGGTGACCCCCGGCCGTGTCACAGGAGAGCTGTGCTCTAAGCGATTTCCATGGCTGGTGTTCAAGAATTAGATCACCAAGATTTTTCTTCGGAGGCACCTCTGGAGGACTTGAACTTCCAGGTGGTTGGCTAGCCACTGAAGGCATTGACCATCTGTGCCACCCAGAGACTCTGATGTCCACAGGAACCTGTGTCCATTCCCCATCAGCCAGCCGGTGGAGTCAACTGTGTAGCAAGGCCACCTGGAGGGTGTGTTAGTCCAGATGGACTAGAGAAACAAATTCATGGACATTCATATGTGTATAAAAAAGAGCTTTATATACAGAGCAATTGTACATTAACCAAACATCCCAGCCCAGTCCAGATCAAGTCCATAAGTCCTATATTAGCCCATATGTCTGACACCAATCCATAAAGTCCTCTTCAGACTCATGAAACACATGCAATGACGCCAAATGCAGGAAGATCACAGGACAGTGGGTGGGAAGTCTTGTGGATCCGGTGGCAGTGTGAGCATCTCAGCGCTGGCAGGGGTCTATGTGGTTCTTCCCGCTCAGGGCACTAACGTAATTCCATGTGTCTTGTCAGCTGCAATGTCTCCCAGGGAGTGAGCTGAGAGAGAGAGTGTCTCCTGCCTCCAAGGAGGAAAAACAGGAGTTCCCAGAATCCTCAGGAGAAGGCCACGCCCACACAGAGGCCTCATTGGCTATGACCTGATTGGCAGGCTAGACTCCACCCCTTCACTCCTAATCCTCTCAAATTGACACCAGATGATGTAACTACCACAGCTAGCCAAGCCCCTGACAGGTGGCAGGTGGTAGGTGCTCAGGTCGGGGCTGTTCTCTTCCTGTACTCTGCTGGGCCATTCAGCTAGAGGGGCAGCTAAGGGGCAGCAGGTATGGACTATGCTCTTGCCCCTCCCCCTCCCCCAGGCAAGAGACCAGCACAGAGTGATTTCTGTTCATCGTTCTGCTCCCATTGCCAGCTGTGAGAGCTCGCTCAGCAAGTTAGCGCTGACACGTCCATGTTTGAGAGGCTCCCTGGGTCAAGGCCGACTAACAGAACCAAATGCACTGCCACTGAGTCGATGACAACTCATAGTGACCCTCTAGGACAGCAACCCTCTAGAACGCTCCCTTTGAGTTTCCAAGACTGAAACGGTTTGCAGGAGTTAGCCTCGTTTTTCTCCTGCAGAACAGCTGGTGGTTTCGAAGCACTGACGTTGTGGTTAGTAACCCAACATGTCACCACTATACCACCAGGACTCCTCCCTGGGAGAGAAGAAACCTATAAAACAAACCAAGGCTCCACAGGCCCATTTCCATCCGTGGAAGCAAGGGAGGCGTGGCTGTGCATTCCTGCCCTGCCCCCACGTGTTCAGCGAAGATGAAGGGGCCTTTGAGCTGATGGCTCCGGTGGAGTTCCCTAAGAGATGGAGTTCAGGAGTGCAGAGTGCAGGCATGCCATAGGTACTGTTTTCTGTAGATACTCTTAGTTTAGTCCTGGCCCCGGGACCTTGATCTTCCCTAGAGCCCTAGGGAAGCCCCAGGTCTACCTGAGAGAGCCCAGGGCAGCTTCAGGACGGGACCCCAGGCAGGCAGGGATGCGAAGGCTCAGAGATTAGCGAGCCACCCCCCCCAGGGACACAACACTTGAGCGTGGTTCTGGGAGCATCCCCCGGCCGCCTCACTCTCAGTCCACTTACACCCCGGCCTTGTTATCACATCTGTACAAGGCGAGCAGGCAGGCCGGCAGCAGTCCTTGTGAGGACGATGAACTATTCAAATGGAAAAGGAAAGATTTATGATATTGATCTCCTTGGAAGAGCTCATAGGGACCATGAGTTGTAATTATCAGCTCAGAGCCCCAGTGGAGCAATGCCAAATGCTTATCTGCACAGGGCTGGATTTATGGCCGGGGTCAACCTCCTCCACACTTGTCTTCTTCCTCCATCCCGTCCCCAACCCATCCAGTCTGGGAAACATGGTGAAACCGAGACCCAGCTGTTTGCCACGGTCGTCCGGAAGGGCAGCTTCATCCCCCACTACATCGGCATCAACCACACGGCTCTTGAGGTAATGGGACCTGGGGTCCTGGGAGGGGTGGGATGGGAAGGAGACCAAGCTGTCAGCAGACCCCATCTCCTGTCCTTGGCCCCTCAGGCTGGCCTGATGGTGTGGAGATGGGCTGTCTTGGGGCAGAAATCAAGAAGTAACTGGATCTTGCAAAATAAGCCATTTCCAGACAAGCTCTAAGGTGTAGGGATCTAGCAGAGATGGTGACGACGAGGCCTGACGCTTTCCAGGACTTGCCACGCACACAGCCTTGACCTAGCCTCTCCTTCCCCCGGTGTCCTTGGAAGTGAGTGGGAGGGGGCTTCACCATAGCTGACCCAGAGGAGGCCCCCACAGCCCCCTGCACCTCCTGGGGGAAGCCCTATGCTCCCTGCTTGGTCCACAGCTCTGGTTTTTTTCTATCCTGTCCCCTCCCTCCCTGGGGAGCGACCCCTGACCTATGGCCTAGGCTCCACAAGCAAGCATTTCAGAGCCTCCCCACCTTTTCTGGGATCCTGTTCCTAAAGAGATTTGACTGGTCTGCTAGTTTGCTATTCACGCATTCGTTCCAGAACTAGTTCTAGAGCTTCTTCAGGGCTAACTCCCACATACAATCCCCTTCTTCCCACTCGCGTAACCTCAGAGAAGACACAGCCTAGGGACCTGGGCCCTCGGTGTGGGCCCTCGCTCTCCCCTAGACTTCAAACCAGCCAGGGCTGCAACCAGGGTGGAGTCCAAAGCCCTGGGCGTCTCCGGCTCTGCCATAGCTGAGCTGATCCTCCCCAGAGCCCTGTGAGCCTGGCAGGGCAAGTGCTCCTCTCTAGCCCCACTTCACAGCTGGGGACACTGAGACCCAGGGAGGGCCCAGAGCTCCTGGCCCACCGCTGCTTCCCCGCAACCAGTCCTTGGCGTAGACGCCTCCTGTTCTGTCAGCAGCAGCAGCAGCAGGTGAACAGATGTCTGCTTCCAATGGCAGGCCATCCGCTCAGCAGAAGGAGAGTGCTGCTTCTGTACGAGCAGGTGCACTGGACAGCTGTCTCCTTCACACCTGACCTGTGTCACCTCTCAGGAACCCCTCCCAGCCCTATGCCCTTCCCTTGAGGAACAGAGCCCAATACTAAAAAAAAGAGAAAAAGAAACCAAATTCACTGGCACTGAGTCCATTCTTACTCAGAGTGACCCTATAGGACAGGGTAGAACTGCCCTTTGGGGTTCTGAGATTGTAACTCTTTACAGGAGTAGACAGCCTCGTCTTTCTCCCTAGGAGCGGTTGGTGGTTTTGAACTGCTGACCTTGCAGTTAGCAGCACATTGTGGAACCCACTACACCACCAGGCTCCCTCCTAGAGTCAAATAGCTCTCCAGCAAATTCCTCAGGCCTGTCCCTCACTCCAGCAAGAGTTGGAAATTCCACCATTAGACAGCCATTCCTTTGAATATCGTGGAGGGAGTTTCAAGTCCAGAAGCCTCAGTGAGGTCCGAAATGCCTTAAAAACAAACAAACAAACAGTTGCTGTGAAGATGACCAGCCCATGGTGACCCCTTGTGCATCAGAGTGGAGCTGTGCCCCCCGGGGTTTGTGATGGCTGATCCTTTGGGGAAAGGCTTTGCTTCCAAGGCATCTTGGGGTACATTTGAACCTCCGATCTTTCCATGAACAGCCAAGCAGGGAGCCTCATCTTTCTCCTTCAGAGCAGCTGGTGTTTGAACCACTGACCTTGCTGTTGGAGGAAGGTAACCTGGAACATAGAGCCAAGTACAGCAGGGAGGAAAGGCAAGAGGGGCCTAAGTGTGCAGCAGGAGTGAGCCATCGCTGGGGGAGAAAGAAGAAAGAGTTGCTGGGCTCACCTGCCTCTTCTCTTCCCAGGTCTTTCTCCGGGAAGTCAACGAGCCCCTCGCCAACAACTACACTCCCATCGTGGCGATTGCCCGAGTGGTGCCCAACTACAAGGAGTTTAAGTGAGTGGGGCCCGGGTGGGCACGGATGAGCAGGGTGGGGAGGGCAGGGAGAGGCTATCATAGGCTGCCATTGCTCCTGCAGGCTGTCCAGGAGCTTTGGAAACCTTCCCTCTCCCCAAGGCTCCTCAAAGCTCTCCACTGGGTCTGAGGTCCCAGGAAACGGATCACGCCTTTCCTTCCACAAGAGAGTTGAACACAGACTTGGGGGGGGAGGGCAGGGGAACGAACAGGGACTTAAGTGTCTGCAGCAGATCTGAAGAGCTGAAGGGGGCCAGTGTGTGTGTGGATGGGGGGTGGGAGATGGAGGGCATCCTCATGCCCACCCCCAAATCCACCCAGCACAGGCTCTGGGTCCTGGACTATGGTTCTCCCCAGAGGAGAAGGCCCAGGGATCATCTCAGAGTGTACCCTATAGCTCTACCAGGCTCTGCCCCTACTACTTCACCCCTCCCCCTGATTCTCATGTGGATTTATTGGGGTCACAGTTCTCAGGAGGGGGGGTGGGCCAGCTCTGCCACAGCAGAGAAAGTCTCCCCATGAACATGCACACACACCCCCTTGGAGCCTCAGCACCATCTCCTGGGAGCAAAGGTCTGCCTGTCACTTCTGATGATGCTCCCTGACACCCACCCCTGCCCATGGCATTCCGATGGCCTGTGAGCCTGCCTCCCTTGTTGGAGAGATGAAGATGAGCTGAGTGTGTGGACACGCGCACGTGCACGTACACATATACTCACACTCCCTTGGAATCCCTTCCCTGCAGTCTCCAGGCCCCAGAAGCCTCAATCAGGATTCCCACCATATAAACTCAACAGCAACACAATATCACTGCCATGATGTCTGTTCTGGACCATAGCAACCCTTTAGAACAAAGTAGAACTGCCTCTTTGGGTTTCTGAGACTTTATAGAGCAGACAGCCTCATCTTTCGCCTGAAGAGCAGTGGGTGAGTTCGAACCTCTGATCTTCTGGTTAGCAGCTCAGTTCATAGGCCATGAGAGCTCCTTGATTCCCACCATAAGGGAGGCAAAGGAAGGCAGGGTCCATTTTCAAGATGGGGCAACTGGGGCTTTCTGATGTGGCTAAGGCCACAGAGAGTCACGGTGCTACCGCAGGAAGACCATCTCCTGACCAAGATGAGCCCTGGCCAATAGCAGAAGGACCATAGTCCACCACTTGAGCTACGAGACCCCGGCCTAAACTAGATAGGTCTTGGACTCCTCCTCACACCGGCCAATCCCGGGGCTCCAGAGTGGTGGCCCCCCAGCTGCCAGGTGGGGCGCAAAGGCAACAGTGCCAGGCCCTGTGAGCCCCCGTGCTGACCCCATCTCTTCACCTGCCCAGGCACAGCCAGGAAGGCGGGGACCCAGCATCGCAGGGGCTGCCCCTCACGCGGCTGTCCTTCCCCATCTCGTCACCCATGGGCTTCGACGTTCCTCGGGTCAACAAGAACGGATGTCCTCAGGTATGACATCGTCCTTCCCTGCTTCACCCTGGTAGTAACTCACCTATGTGCCCCTTCATCCCGTCCCTCCCTCCCTCCCTCAATGACTGCTCCCTAAGAGTTCGCTGAGTCC